CAGATTGTGATACCAAATTTTTATCTAATGCTTATAGTGCTTAAATTATCTAAGTTTATAAATTAAAAAATAAAATTTTTTTTTTAATTAATTAATGTATTTTTAAAAAAAAAATTTTTATGTAAGTTACTGGACAAGTCGTGAAAGAACTAATTTTTTCCGTTATGTTGTAACAAGCTGACTTTTTAAAAAAAGCAGTGTTCTATAGAAATTTATAAAGAAGATTATTTTTAAATATTCTTTTACATCTTTATTTTGCTTTTGAATGTCTTTTGGCTTATAATAATTTCATTTAAGTAATTTTATGAAAGTTACATGAAAAGTCATGAAAGAACTAATTTTTTCCTTTATCTTCTATGTTGTAACAAGCTAGTGTTAAAAAAAAAAGCCATTTTCTATAGAAATTTATGTAAAAAAGTTTGTGATTTTTTATATATATATTTTTTACATCTTTATTTTACTTATAGTTTATATTAATAATATTATAGTCTTTTAGTTTATATTAAATTTTTTTTAAAATCACTTTCCATATAGTAATGTCTCAGTGATAAGGTATTATTTCCTAATAAAATGGAACTTTAGTTGTTATAAACATTAAATTTGAATTTTACATTTTTATTCAAAAATATTTCTCTTACAGGTTTAGGATATACTGGAATAGCAAGATTTTTTAATCTATATCCGTTTAGTGGTGGTCAAAATTCTGAAGTTAAAAATTCTGAAATTGCATCATAATTTATGTGTGGAGAAATTCAAATTTTTATTTAACTCTGTACATTTGTTTTAAAATTGTATTAGAATAATGCCCAATAAATTATGAATTGTATATTGTGGTATCAATCAAATAGTATTATGACTTTGACTTGATATAAGGACATGCTTGAATAAAAATAGATTTTTATTAAATTTTTTGTTTAGTATCCTTTATTAAATTAATTAAATATTTAAAACAATTTATTTCTAAAAAGTATATAAGGAAATATTTTCTTATTGATACCTGTGTATGTGTGTGTGTAAGTTACTATTCTCAGGTTTGCACTTCTGAAAGATTTAATCATTATCTTATATAATTGTTATTTTATATTATCATTGATTCTCACATTTATATGCTATTATAATTTTTTTCAAGTTTTAAGGTTTGTCTAATTTACGTATGATAAATATCTACTTATTGTAAATTTGTAACTCCTAATCTGTTTATTTCATTCATTTTATTAATGAATTGAAATTAATCCATGATAAAATTAATTCATTAATAAAATGAAGGCTTTCAAATTAATGAAAATGCGTATGCGAATGTTTTGGTTACTTACGGGAAATCTTTTATACCGTTATTCTGCATACTTAGAAGGTTACTTTGCCCATGGATCTGTTTTAGATATAAATAATTTTTGATGCGACAAGAGAAGAAAACTCTGTTTTTACGAGTAAAAGCTGTCAGAAACCTACTTTTTTTCAATATGTTATGGTACAGTCGTACAGTGCTCCAAAAAAAAGGACCGTCCTGAATAACTTTTGATCTAATAATGGGACTTTCATATTCTAAGACTCAATCTTTATGGCTTGAGGAAGTGACCTGAAATATGCTAATTAATAAGTGCTGACAATATTTTACGTTACAAAATCAAACTAAAAAACATACTTTCTCTGAAACACACTTTTTTCCCTCCGACAGTTTTGTATTTCTGACCCCCAAAATATAGCGGGTAGCCACAATATGGTCCCAATAGTGTGGTCATGAAAGCAACCAAAGTTTGAACCCTTTAATGTTAATTTTACTTTTTGCATATTTCGCCATATCTCAAGATTTTTTTAACACATTGAAAAAATTTTGCACTCAATTATAACAGTTGTTTATCCAAACATAATTCGTGCAAAATATGAATTTTAGTAAAAGCTTATCATTTTTATTTTATAATAATCAAAAAACCTTTGGATTATAAGGTATAAAAATTTTCATTATGAATTAGGATTGTAACATAAAAAGTAAAATTAACAATAAGGGGTCTGAACTTAGGATCACTCTCCTGACCAAACTACAGGGACCATATTTCCCAGATTACGGATACCTCCGATATTTTATGGGTCAGAAATCCAAATCCGTCGTAAAAAATTACATGTTTATTCAGAGAAAGTTTGTTTTTGTGTCTGACTGTACATATATAATTTTAAAATGCTACAGAATATGAATTATTAAAAGTTGGTATGCACATCTTTAAATCTTTTATCAAATCAATTTTTCTAAATCAAAATTTGAACTCATAAAATATCAAAAAATTGTGTCATATAGATATTATTTTGAGTTTAATATCCATTCAGCCTTAATAGTTATTATAATATACCTAGATACCCATATATAATCTTGAAATATTTAAAAAACATTTGCAACAAAACACAAGCTAACTGAAGAACCACAGCTAGTTAATCTCATTTTAAAACTTTTATATAATTAAAAACTTATGTTCATACAAACCTTAATTATATACAAAATGGAAAACTACCTAGCAATAATTTTTTTTTTTTATCCATATTATGTCATTTGTTTTTCAAATTTAATGCTTTAAGTTAAGATACATTTTTTATTCAAATTTTAGTTAGTTGATGTCCCTAAAAATCTGGGTTTTTAACTTGAGGATAAAACTATCATGCATCAAAAACTTGCCAACCCGCTTTGGATCAGTGACTAAATAATTTAAATTTTTAACTTGAGGATAAAACTATCACGCATCAAAAACTTGCCAACCCGCTTTGGATCAGTGACTAAATAATTTTAATTTCTAACGTTTATGAAAATCAATTTAACTTTGATTTTGAAATTGTTAAATAAATGAGAATGTTAAAAATTTGTTCTGACAGTTTGACAGCTTAGCAATAACTGAAATATATATACAGTAGACTATCTGTATAGATTGGGGCTAAAGGATCTGCAGATTTTAAGGAAAAATATTAAAGGATCTGCAGAGTTTGAAGATTTAAGATCCTTTATTTGTTTAAATTTTCACTGTGCATTTTTTATTTATATCTTAATGTATAGAAATAAAGATAAACAAATTAAAAGAAAAACTAGTAAATTGTAGGTATATTTTAAAAAAAAATTATAATTTAAAAATTATATTGGAAAAATGGAATAAAAAATACGACAAATTTCATGTAGCTCAATTTCTAGAGAATAAAAATTTAAATTATGTGGTACAATTTGTTTCTATGTAATACAAAATTATTTTTCTTTGATTAGAAGACATTGCAGCATTTTTTGCTAATATTAAATTCATTGAAAGAAAGGTAATTTTTTTATTGAATCTATAGCATATTGTTGAAAAAAATAAAAAATATGTATATAAAAAAGTAAAATTGTGTAGTAATTAATAAGTTGTATTTTATTTTATTTTATGATTGTAAGTTTTCTTTAAACATATTAGATTGTGTAAAAGTGTAAGAGAGGTGGACTGATTCACAAATGAGTAATCTTATAAAAATTTGATTTTATCGGTTTAAAAATGCATTAAATTACGTTTTTTGAACGATACATTTTCAATTTATTTGTCGGAATATTTTTGGGTGAAGGAAGGTTTCAACTTAGTTTGTTTTTATTCTTAAATTAATACAGATTTTAGACGCTAATGGATTTTTAAGGTTACAGATTTTAGAATCTATTGTGTGTTACTTTTGTTTCAATTACAAATATCAATATGGTAGTCAGATGAAATAGAAATAATGTTCTTCTGGGGCAAATAACTTTTGGCCATGCAGGTAACTTAAACTTCTTTGTTCATGCAATTTAAAAAAGTAGAAATAATTTGATATTGTTTTTCATGTGTATATAAAAGTTTTCAAAACTATCTAAACATAATTATTTTCTGCATTTATATGGAGCATATTATTTACTGGTAAGGATATCTTTTAAATACCATTTCCTTCCAAAACATGAAGTGTTGGTAAAAAATATATTAAAATATCAATTTTGCTTTTTTTTTGTCACTAATTTTTTAAAGTTTGTAAGAGTTGTGGGAAACCTGTTTTTACAGAGCTCCCACAGTTCAGGAAAAACCTGGAATTGTCAGGGAATTTTATTTAAACTCTAAAAAACAGAGAATAGTCAGGGAAAGTTGCAATTTTTACAAAAAAAAAAAAAAAACTGGAAAATTCCTGTACCATACTTGGAAAATAGCCACTCTCACTAGAATTCTCAGTAACAGCAATAAAGATTCAAGTTAAATAATTCTTGCAACTATTAATTATTTTATAAAGTATATCTATATTAAAAGTGGAATTCACTTTTTAGTGAAACTTTTCTGTTTCCATTCAAATTCTATTATATGTTTTTGCTCACATAATCTAATATTTGACATTAGAAAAAAATTAAAGTTTTCTGATGAAATATTGCATTGTATAGATAAATATTGTTTCGATTTCCATATATGATATACCTGGAAAAGTCGGGGAATTTTTTTTTCCTTCTGAAATTGAGAAGAAACCCTGTTTTATATTTATTTCCAGTGGGCAATTTTTTTTTTTAAATTTGTGACACTATGGAGGCAAGTTATTTTTCAAATCTTGAAGGTATTTAAATTTCTTGGTAACCTTATGAGTTTCAAAAATCTTTTTATGAGAAAATACTTTAATTCATAGTGAGTAGCAGGTAAGTTTCAGTACAATTATGCCCTGGAACTCAATGCTTGGATGGGTTAAAGTCTATGAAAGTAAGTACGATTTTTTAAGCAATATGATATAATTGCAGTGAAATAAATTATTCTTCACTCAAATTCTAAAAATGCAAGTTTGCAAAGTTTACCATCAAAGCAATATAAAAAAAATCAAAGAAATGAGATATTTTTACCGTGCTTGCAAGTAACTGAATCTCATTCAAGTGGTATTGATATTTAAGAATCAACTTATTAATTATTATGTAGTTGCAGTTCTTTTATATAGTGAAAAATACTTTATAGCAGAAATCTGCAATATGGCAAATTACTATAGGGTTTCTTAACGAATAAACACAATCATTTGTGAATACATATTTTATTAAGCTCACATAAAAATACAGACAGTGAAAAGTTAAATGTTTATGACTCTGCTCAGTTTTTGAACTCTGTTCAGAAGAATGTCTCCTTGCTTGATGCAAGCCTAAAAAATAAAAATTTAAACATTAAAAAAGAAAAAGTAAAAAAGATGACAAAGTTTTTATCATAGTCACAATAAATCGAATATAAGAATAAATTTAAATTAAAAATATGATTATTTAAAATTATGTTGTAAAACTATTTTTTAAACTCCTTTTTTTAAAAGGTTATATTTCAAGAACTATTTAATGTTTTTTCTTTTCTTCAAATTTCGAGCTTTAGCATAAAAAAAGGGTTAACAAGTTTTTTTAAAAAAAACATTTTTTAACGACTTATAGGGTACAAATTTGTTACATAATACTGAAACATCTTTCAAAGATTCCAATATTTTTTTTATTTAGCGTAATTCTTTTGCATAATCACTTTTCCTTTGCACCTATAATACCATTGATAACAAGTCAAAATGCTTTGGTTGTCGTGAGTAGAACTGACATTTGCTTATGCGTTGTCTAGTAGTCTGTTTAAAAATATAACTTTTACCAGTTTTTTTTAATTTAATACTTTAAAAGGTTTGAAAAGAAAATATTAGAAAGAGTTTTAATAGTACATTTATTGAAAAAAAAATAAAACTCTTTGTTTTAGAAAATTTAAGAGGTTATTGAATTTTTATTCTCTGCACTCAATTTAAAGCAAATACAGTGAAACCTCCAGAAAAAGACCGCCTCTATGTCACAACTACCACTACTTACGACCACTTTTGGGAGAAATGGAATCTTTTCGATAGACTTAGTGTTGAAGAAAACATTTAGGAACGACTATTAAAACCTTTCCTAGAGACCGGGCGCCAACATCTGCACCAAATGCCAAATAAGGAAACACGAAAAAATACCAAAACAAAAAAATTATCAATACAAATAAGTAGATTAAAATGTATCCTAAATAATTGTTTGAGGCTATTATTTAGAGAGTTCTTCTTGATGATAGAACCTCATATTACAGTCGGAGTGCACGAAAGATGATGGTATCAATGATTTACTTTTAGAGCTAAAAGTTAAATAAGAAAAAAAGATATTTTAGAAAAAACAAGTAACTCAAACAAACCTTTTCGAATCTTATAAAGCTAACTAGGTAATTTTTATGATACGAAATCAAAAGCAAACTTAAACAAAAAACAAACTTAAACAAAAAACATAATTGTTTATTTATTTAAAATAGCTTTTATTCATAATTAGTAAATTTGTTTTTGCCTATAATTATATGAGATGGGATCATTTTTATAGACCTAAATTTAATTCATGGATCTGTCTTTTCCATGTAGCCAACAGAAGTGGCATTTCTGCACCAAGAAAATGACACTGACTAAAAATAAAATTGTTAGCAAAAAATCGTGTACCTTGGACAACAATTTTGAAGTCAACGTAGGTAACGTTTAAGAATGACCCTTTGACTGAGGAACGGAGAGTGGTCTCTCCAGAGAGAAATAAATAAATAATCACTATCAATTAGCTACTGTTCCCTCATAACAATATTTAATTAAAGTTTGTTATCGAGTTAAAAACTTCTTTTATTAAATGATTTTAAAGTATGATTTAAATAATCTTGAAACGTAAACACGGTGAATACACCGCTTAAAATTTTTGTATCAAAGTAACTTCATAGATGATCCCTCAATTAACCATTTAAAAATTCTGTATTGTTTATTAGAATCTATCCTTTTTATATTCAATAAAAGAGAAAAATAATTGTGAAACTACAAAACTCCACTCTACAATATTTGTAACTGCATTTGAGAGAAGTATTTGATTCGATGTTAATCATAAAAATGTAATAATATAAACTTTTTAGCCGAGTTTCGTTTTCATAAAATGACTGCATCTGTAAGTAAGACCTGAACTATGTATATTAGTAATTAGTGAACAGTTTATATGATAGAACTATTAATAAAAAAAAATGTTGGATCAAAAAATCCAAATGTTTCAATTTTTTAAAATTTGCAGTTTTAGAAAATAGGATGTTCTGAATACTTACAAAATTAGGAACATCAGGACAAAAAAAAAAAAATGGACAAATAAGGATGAAGGACAAAATATTTTGTTATCAGGAATATAAGGACTATTAAAAATTCTGCATAATATACATAGAAAATAAATTCACCTGGTATTGATAGTTTTTACTATCAGGCCGGTTTGTTTCAACAATCCCACCAACTTTATCTATTTTGCAGTGCAATCTTCCAGCTGCTATAAATCTTGACAATTCTCTATAAAAAAAATAATTAATTAGAATGAATTCTACTATTTTTTAGTGCAACACTTATTTTCAACTCGTAGTCTGTATTATAAACAAGGATATTAAGTTTCTTCCACAGAAGAAATACCCATGAAAAAAACTACTTTGGAAGAAATATATTTCTTTCAACTCAAGTGGAAGAAATTCTTTTGCAAAAGAATTATCAGATATTAAAACAATTCACATTGAAATGTAGTTTATTTAATAGTATTAATTTTCAAGCTATTTAAATTCTTTTTAAATACATTATAATTAAAAAACACCAATTAAGAAAAAAATAAATTTTATAAATTACTTAAGAAATTAAAATAACTTTAGTTTTTCAATATTTTACAATAGAGTATAACCTTATTTCGTAATTATAAAAAGAACTTGTAAAACATCACTATCGAACCTTAGTGATACTAATAAATTAACAAATCACATACTGAATTTAAAAATAACACACTAATTTTTATTGTAAAATGCTGATAATTATGAAGACTGAAACCAACTCTTAAAGAATATGATATATAGACTTTTAAACCGCGTGAAAAATTAAAGTATATAATTGGAAATAATTTTTTTAAAAGTGTGTATAAGAAAAAATTATAACTTTCTGATACTATACATATTAAATTCCGTAGTTAGTGTAATAAAGAATGGTCATTTATCTCTATTTCTTTAATTAACAACAAATATATATATTTATAAAGATAGCAAGAATAAGCTTTAGCAAAACCTTTTACAACTGGCAATGATTCACTATAGAATGGACTTCCATAAAGCAACAGAAAAGATAAACTTTATATCAAAAGAAAGCTAATTCTGAATATGTTAACACTTTGTTGACCGACGATTTTATACAGAAACTGTCATGTCACCTGTTATTATTTTGTAATTGAATATGGAAGTAAAATAAAACATTATAAATTATGTACAAAGCTTTTGCAATATTTGATATCACCCTGGGTTTCATAAGTTGCAATAGATAAGACAAGTGCAATGAACTTGTCATCGTTCAGCGTTAGGGCATGAAAAAATGAGTTAACTCATCACCGGTCAACAATAACCAATTTTAAATTTTGTACATTTTTTTAAAATTACGAAAATAAATTTATTCATTATCAAAATTTATTCCCACACAAAATTCAAACTTTTTTACTCAATGCAAATGAATATCACGTAATTCTTGCACTACAGTTGGTGCGGTCAAGAAGTATTGTCCCATGAGAACTTCGAAAAGATAAAATACTGTATGTAGAAATACATTATATCAGCCTTACTTGTCTATAAAAAAAGTAGTAACTCCAAATGCATCAGCCATATATTGTAAGGTTAAACTTCTATAAGATTCCAGTAGTTGAGTGTATGCCATAATTCTCATCTCTCGGACGTAATACCGAAAATGAGGTGCCAACAGACGATCTTGTTTAAGCATTTTCTCAACCAAGGCTGTAAAGAAATAAAATTCAATGTTATATAAAACAATTCATAATTTTTTATTCTAAAATCTCTATAATGCAAATAAAATTTTAATTTCTTCACACAACTCTTTGCAAATTTTTTTTTTGCTTGCATTTGTTACTTGCAGATTAACTAAATTTTGATTTCACAGCTAAAAATAAATAACAAACAATAAGGCAGTTTGTTTCTATATAATGTTTTGATTTATGTTTATAAAACTTATTTTTGTTGCAATCTGTAGATAGTAGTAAAAATTATCAAAAAGCACAATACAGTTATTATTTAACTATTCTTATGATCACTTCACTTGTTAAGCTTGGATAAATATTTTTGATCGTACATGAATCTGAATGAAACTATTTTCATTCATTTGTATGATATTTCATATCCAAATCATTCATATGAGAATTTGCATCAAATCTCCACAACCAATGCTGTTAATATTTTTTTAATAATAGCAGCAGTGTAAAAGTTAATCTAGTTTCTGTTTTAAAAAAATGAGCCCTACATGAAAAATATTTTTAAAAAAGAATATCATAATATTAGGTTTATGGATCATTATGAATTATTATTACAGAACTAAGATTTTTTTTAAATGTTGTAGAAAAAAAATTTAAAAAAATATTAGAAATGTCACAAGAAACAAGATAGTTAATTGCTTTAAAATTAACAATCGGGTCTAGTATATTTATAAGGCAAGTATATTTGTAAATGATTCCACACACACACACACACACAAAAAAAAATTTAGGTCAACTTTACAAAGACTATAATACAGAAGTTTAGTCATGTACTTCCTAATACCTCTTGTTTTAATACAATAAAAATTAAGGTTATATTAATATTGACTTTAATTTAAATACAAAAACAAGTGTATTAATAATATTTATACGTAGTTCCCTGAAAACGACTTGTTTTATCAGATTAATGAACTTCCTTTTCTTCAATTTACAACTTGAAATTGACTTGAACTATCTTAATTTCATGTTTATTTGCAGAGTTGCATTCAAAGCAGTCCAGAGGTAACTATTTTATCGTAATGTACTAATTTGGTGAGTAAATTGTTGAGCTCACCAATCATTAAATTACTGTAAAATAGTCATTTCTGAAAAAAATATCAGACCATTTTATACAATTACAAGAAAACATAAAATTAAGATAATTTATGTACATAAAAATATGGTTTCAAATGTGCACGTGAGCTGATAATGGAGAGGCAACCTTCAGGGCATAGGATGACATTTCCAGTCACGAGTTGTTATGAAATTTTCAATCCTTATAAGGAATTTCTCTGCATTGATATAAATATTAGTAGAAATTCAGCCTTATATATGAAAGCATTTGCTTTTAGCAGCAGAAAATAAAACGTAATTTAAATATATCTGATAATAAACAGATATGCATAATATACACGCATGCCATTCACGGAAAATCTGTCACCATCGCAAAAACTTATTTAATATTATATACAGACATTTAACATAAATATTATAATAATGCTTGACTGAATTGTAGAGTAGGCTAAAAAATATACACTGTATATGTATTTTGATTATACATATACAAATGGTCAAAATTTCTAGATTTAACTCCACAGTGAATTTTTCGAAACATTAGATACAATAACAAAAAATTTGATAAGTCAATGACTAGTTTTATATCTTTAAAAATGTGCTAAATTCTATGAATAATGTAATAATCAGTATAGAGATTGATAAAATTTAAAACACTTTATACCTAACTTCTGGAAGAACTCAGCATACTGGCAATTGTAGAGGGAAAATAGATATTCACGAATATCTGAAGCACTATGAAGAACCTCAAGAATTTCAGAACCCTTTACAACCTGAAGAAATAAACATTTACATTAGAAAGGATACTTATATGAAGTTTTTTAAAATATAATAAATAAAATAATACTGCACCTTTTCCCTGAGATCTATTCTTGCCAGCGATATCATACTGCATATAACAGTATAAGTAACAAAAGTTTTGTAATCCATCAGCTCATAACTGGTAAATGTCGAGACAGTATCCAAGAAAAAATTTGCAGCATTTTTAAAATCTCTAATTGCCATGCAATATACTCCTTGATAAACTTTCAACCGATTTCTACGATCCCAATCTCCACCTTCTTCAATCAAGCTTAAATAAAAACAAAATTCTTTATCTTAAATAAATTTAATAATAATAAATAAGTAAATAATAATCATCATAATAAATAAACAGAATAATATACAGTATGGGACCCCTAATCCGGCATATTGAAATTCGGCACTCAATCCGACCAATTTTTTTTTATAAGAAATTTTTATCGATAAGAGAAAAAAAATCAGTCATATTTTCTTTTTATTTGGAATTTTTTTCTCTTGAAGTAAGTAACTATATTTTATCTTTTAAAAATAAAAACACGAAGAGAAAAAATAATAAATCTGTATCTAACAAAACATCCATTCCTAAAGCAGTTGAAATTGAAAAGTAAAAACATCTATATTTCCAATGAACAAAATAAAGAAATGCAAGTTGGAAGAAACTGATCAATCAATCTTGACAGCTGTGCAAATGCTTTACTGGTTTGTCTCCACATTTCCCTCTCCTGTTTGACCATAAATTAGCCACACCCTTTTGACATTGAAACTTCTTTCTCACTTGGTGTACAAAATGATTTCTATCCCTTTTGCTGTTTTTTTTTTTTTTTTTTAAATTCGATTCATCTATCTTTTTATTAATTATTAATTGTTACTTTTTTTTGTTACTTGTTATTTTTTTATCATTATTAGTTGTTTACTTCTTTTTGTAATTTTTCATTGTTAGTTTCTTAGCATTAATTGTTACTTTTTTTGTAGTTCCTTGTTAGCTTTATTTAAAAAAAACATTTTTAAAGCGAGGTGAGCGTCTTTTGTTAAAACAAAATGTTATGTAAAAGAAAAAACGAGAACAATGAGAACGAAAGAAAAAATGAGAATTTCTTTTTGGAGGATTCGGATTATCTCATTGTGAATTATTTCTTCTTGATTATATCATATAGATTATTATTTTAATTAATGAAATTTCTAAAGATGGAGCAGTTTTAAATTCACCCCATCATAATCTACAATAGAAACTCAGCTAAATTTATTGGTTTTTCTGAAATTTACAGCGTAATTGAATGATCGTAATATATGGGCGCCATATTGGAATTTCCGAAATACGGAATTTTGTCGGACCCGTGAGTTCCGGATTTTGGGTCCTATACTGTGTAAAAAATCCAAAAATAATCATAAATGGATCTTTAATAAAAAAAATTTAAAAGTTCCAAAAATTATAAAATAGTACTAAAGTAAATTAAATGGTACAAGCTTCAAAGCCAAGATTGCATAGCAGATAATGTTTTATAATCATCGTCAAGATTCTTTTTAGCCAATCTGGCACAAAAGGCTTTAAGTCCTGTCTTCCATCTCTCGAGGTCCAAAGCAGTCTCCTTAGACAAAGCCAACTAGCTAGACCATTCAAGTGCATACAATAATACAATTTAAACTATATTTGATTTTATGATTGAAATTTAAGATTATATCAAGTATGCATAAAAAATTTTAACATGAATTTTCCTATTTAAAAGAAATATTTTTTTAAATAGATTTTTTACTTTCATAACTAAGATAGATACTTTCTAAAAGTGCACAAAATTTGATAGAGGAATAGAGTATTCTGATTTAGAATTAATCTTTATTCTGATTGTAGCAGTATGGTCAATTTTAACAAACTATTAGAGAACATATCAATGAAATATTTAAAATATAAAATATCTTAAAAGAACATAAATGTAAAGTTTTATGCTGCTGTTGTCAAATACATGGATAAAAATAATTATTACTCAAGCATTTTATTATGGTATAATGGCATCTCATAATGTCGCTAAGCTTCGGACAAAGTAAAGTGAGTTTTTAAAAACATTTTATAAGAGCGTGACCAACAAAGTTGAGAAACACTGTTTTATACTGGAAAACCATAAACTATTAACAAAGGTGATGGTGAGAGAAAATTTTAAATTCATCTGCTGCTGGAAGTGGTTTATTTTAATGTTGTAATGTCAACAAAAAGAACAAAAAAATTATCTTAAATATCAGATGGAAAAAAAACTAGGATGCTTTTTATGAGAAGGTATGTATCCAAACAAAAGAATTTACCTACCACAAGAACTAAACTTTATATCTAGATAGTGCATGTTTGAATAGTATGTGATATTTAACACAGTCAACCTTCATGTAAATAGATAAGCATTTTAAACAGAGATTTACAATTAAATCAAACACAATTACAGAAGTTCCTTACAGAATTGTGCTTGTTGAGAAAAAAATATTTAATTCCAATATTTATGACCACAAAAAGAAATTAAATAAGTATATAACAAAGTACAAAAATATTTAGTTTTGTCAAGCAAAAAGTAATAATAATAAAAGTTAAAAAAAAGAAACTTTCAAAACATTTATGCTTACATAAAATTACAAAAAAGGTATAAAACAATTTTATAACCTAATAAAAAGATGGGGTTAAAAAATAAATTCTCCCATTACTTTTTTTAGTGATGCATATTATAATTATAAAAGAATCCAATTCTTAAGAGCTGATTTACTTATGGTCAAGTGGGAGGAGCAAAGTAGGGAATATAATCTATGTAAAAGGAAATGTTAAAACATTACAAAAATATAACATCAACCACATTCCTTTTTTCTTTATTTAACACAGTCAACCATCATGTAAATATAAAAAATAGAGTCATGTACCTTTTTGCTTTTTCAATATTACGAGTAATCAGATCATGATCCACATAAAATAATCCAATTCTTATGATATGAAAAAGAAGATCTAATCGGTGACCAAGGGAAACTGTCTTGTCTTGTGTTTTTCGAAAAACTGCCAATGCTGCATCCTAGGAAAAGAAAAACAATATCTAAATGCATGCAAATTATAATTAAAAAGAAATTTAGCATTAACTTAAGCTAAAATAAACAAAACATATGCTAACAAAGAAATGTTACTAAGCGCTATGTACTCTTAGAATTAAATGTACATTTTACAAGTACCAGAAGAACTGATAGAAAATTCCATAGCTTGAAAATTAACTACTAAATTACAACAGTAAAACTATGAAAAAATTAATAAAAATTTATGCTTATAAAGCCAAATGTAACTTTGTGTATTGAGAATTCAAACAAAAACGTCAATTTTTGAAATCAAGTAATTTAAGTTTTCATTATGCAATTTTAAATTTATAGGTGAGAGATTTTTCAGAAGTATTTAAAATCAAATTAAAATACATATTTTGCATTTAATAGTGAATTTTCCATTATTATTTATTAAAAGTTAAATGAATTAGTAAAGAGGCTATAATTTTCTGTTAAATTGTTTGATAATAAAAATTTTTTATATACATTTTTGAATTTATTCATGCATTATTAAAATTTTTCTCCCATTTAAATTAAACACATTAGTAAGACATTATCTTTTTATATCTAAAAGTTTTGTTGGTAAACTTTATTCTTTAAGACTATATTTTTAAAAAAAATCTTTTTAAACATTAGCTTAGTGGCTTTAAAATAATAATGACAGAACAGATTAAAATTTTCAACAGAGTGCGAATGTTATATAATGAGTTTCATATTTTTAAAAAAAAAAAAAGAAAGAAAGAAAGGACTGAATTTACAGATGCTGAAATAAGTTTAAAATATTCCATTTGAAAATTCAGTACAAAATGGTGGAAACTCATTGCATTTCTTCTTAAAAATGAAAATTCACCAAGCATCGATAACTGTTTGAGTTTAGTAACTACAACCTGATTTTCAGCATTATTTTATTTCTCTATTTTTCAATATTACTTTATTCCTTATGGAATTAGGCAGCTAACTTTTCAGATACAATTTATTTATAAGTTCTTCGAACATCTGTAAAAATTTCAATGAATTCTATGAGTTTAGCTTAGAAACGTTTCCTTGTAAGCAATAAAAAAAGATTAAGTTTTATTTTAAAATACAAAACATGATAATCCAAGAGATCAAATTCTTTAAGCATTTCTAATTTTAAAATGCACAATCAAAAGAAGGATGGCAAATTTCTTCCATATTGGAGGGTGGGGGGAACAGCATAAAAATCACAATGAAAAAACCTTTTTTTAAAAATAAATTTTTAATATTAAAAAGATTTTTATACAGGTCAAAATTGCAAACAGTTTAAATAATAGTATAAATATACAAGCTATTTGCTATATGATTTTCAAATAAGTGAAAATTAAAAAGCAACAATTGAAAAATAAATAACTACAGCTTAATATTTCAAATAAAAGAAAATAGTAAAACCTTATTTAATAATTATATAAAGAATTGCATAAATATAATGAGATCTTGCTAAAACTACTAAGTTAACAAACCATATATCAAACATATAGTTCAAATCACATTATGAATTAACAATTACAAATAGCATACTAATTTACATAATATAATCAAATACAAGCATTAATATTCAAACCAAATCTATTTAGATATTAAAGTTCTGTAAAAATTAAAAGGAAAAAAAATAGATACATAAATATAGACAGGGAAAAAGTTTTATTTCATTTAGACTAGTTTCGTTCAGTGTTCCGGATAAAAAAAAAATTTCTTTTTTCAGAAAAAAATCACATACCTGATTTAAAATTAATCACTAAATCTCTGCAAGTTATAATAAACTATGATATCTAAAAATGTATATGGTTTCAAAAACAAAAAAAACAAGAGGATTATTAATTTTACCTTTGATCCAATTTTACTTAAGTATTCTGCCTTATTAAGAAAAGCTTCCCTCACTTCCATTTCACCTAAATTTTTTTCAGCATCTTCGATAGCGTCATCTAACTTCTTTAGTTCAGTTTCATTCACTTTTTTCATACTCTCTAGAAGAACTGTATCAACAGGCCAAGATAGATCTTTGCAGACTTCTTCATAGAAAGGAGCCATATCTGAAAATGAATGATTAATGAATAAAAAATATTAATTTTAAATCAAATAGATTTTTAAAAAAAGTGAAAAACAAAAAAAATTTATATAGTTAAATTAATTCTTAAAGTAATTTTTTTTAAATCAAAATTATATCACTGAAAGCTGATTTAGTGCTTAAATCACAGCTTTTCAACCCAGAAAAAGTTAATTGTTAGCATTACTATAGAAAATAGCTTTTCACAGTTCATAAAAATTCTCTGGCTAAAATATTGCCTCTTAAAATATGGTAACATTCATAGATATTTTAACAAAGGGGTTGCACAACCTTTCCTGGATGGAGGACACTGAAGAACAAACTTTGGCTTTCATAGGTCACATTGAATTAGTTTTTATTTTAATTAATAGCAATTTATCTATTCCCAAGAGTATTATGGACAATATCAATTTGTTTTAATTAAAAGACAAACAAGGATATAATTTTCTATTTGTTTTAATTAAAAGACAAACTAGGATATAATGTTCGAATCAAAAAACATTTGAAATGAAACAAACTTAATCTTCTTTTATGTGTTCTTTCGTCATGAAAAAAAAAAACAATTACATTTCATTATTATTTTAGATTTACATAATTTTTTTTATATTATAGTTTAGTGTATACACATTACTTTCCTTTTCATTATTTAATACATCACTTTCTCCTTTATCAAAAATATTTTATTTAGTACCACCACATTTTGTAATTTTTAAATTATAAATTTGGCATTTTTACTAAGTTCATAGAAATTTAAATTTAGGAAGGAAAAAAAAAAAAAAAATCAGAATCTAGCAAACTTAAAGGGTAATACATATAACCACCACATGATAAACTGTTATATATATCTTTTTAAAGCTTATTCTAGGCACAATTTTATCTATGTATAAAATATGTATGCATAAAATATTTGATACGGTGAACAAGTATCAATATGGAAATATTCCCTTATACATTAATAATTATAATTCTTAATCAGGGACGGTAACAGCCTTTAGGTAAAAATATGCCTAAACTCTTGCTTTCTCAATACAGTACTAAACAAACTATCTTAATTATAGGTAATTATAAATCATACTACATATTATAATTAATTACAAAATAAAATATAATTTTACTGCACAGACATATATTTTTATACGTATTAATAAATCAGTTTCTAGGGTAAAAAAAAATAACATTCCACAAAATTGGATAGATTTCCAAGAATTAATAAAATTTTAAGTAGCCAAGTAAGCAAGTACCCCATATTAAAATTGCTTAAAAGTGCAACAGAAAATGCTCTTTCTGCAGAACAATGTAGAGTACAAAATAGTTTTAAAAAATATTATTCCTTAAAAATATTTTTCTTTAAATTATTACGTTCCAAGCTACCATTTAATTTGCAAAGGCACATTTCCGGATCAGCTTTTGATGTCAATGAGAAGTTTTATAAATCATAACGTCAAAGCGCGAGTCAACGAGAAGGAAGGACAAACCTTAAAACTAAATGCACATGGAGTATTTTAGAAATATCTGATCAGAAGAAACTAGCTTACTCTGAAAGCAAGACACATACTAGTTTAAAAAAAGTTGAAAGAGCATTATCAACATTTTCATGACAATAAACCTGTTAGACATTGTTCTAAAAAAAAAAAGAAGTATATTAAATTCAAATAGAAGATCATAGTCAAATATTAATTTGGATATGATGGCCATAAAAACAACGAGAATCAATGAAGATGAGCCTCATCCTGATATTAACACTAGAAACAATTGCGGAAATGACACATATATTATTGCAAGAAAAAGAATCTTAATTGGAAAAAAAGATTCAATTATTATCAACAATGATACTACAAATAAATTATTATCTGCGATAAAAGGTAAGAAATTTTAAAACTAAGATGTCTCATAAAGTAATAATAAGTTGCATTGTTTTGCTGACGTTTGAACATAATATTAATACTTGAGTACATTTTTATTTGTTCTCAATTATTAAATGTTACAGTCTATTTTTTTGAGATATTTCTTAAAGTTTTAGAATAGTAAAAACTAATAAGGTGAGAACAAAAAGCACTCTTCATGAGAAAATTCTATCTTCATAATTTGTGCAATAGTAATATTCATAAATTATCGTATACTATTTAACCCCTCATTTTTTAAAAGATCTTTAGAGAACAGCTTTGTAAGCTTGCTCAGATATAAAAGATAAAATCCGAAGGACATTTTTATTCATTTATAAGCTTGTTGGAGAACATTGCCGAACATTCTGTAAGGGGTCAAGTAGAAACGTCAACTTTTATAATTTAATCATAATAGTTTTCATTAGTCCCGATATTATTATAGTGTCATATTCAACCTAAAACCTGAACTTAAAACATAGAAATAAACAGAATTGTTTCTGTTTTCATGCCAGGTACTTAATTTCAATAACAGTTCACAATTTTTCGACGCGAAATTGAAATTATAAGATCACAGTGATATGCAGAGGCAGAAAGAAATATTTACTGTTTAATTTAATAGCTTCCAGAAGTCGATTTTTTAAACTTTCATCTCCTTGAAATTCGACAGAGGAAAGTAAAAATTTCATCTGTGCTAACTCCAAATTTGGATTCTTTTCTAAGCTTTCGGCTTCAAGATTTTCAATAGGCATTTTACTTTCTTAAATGAACACCAATAATAAATAAATACAACTAAATGGCAAAAGGCAGCACAACAAATTTGGAAATTTCCTTGTTACAGATTTCCACACTAGTGGGATTTCTTTATAAAACGAATTAAAAAACCGATGTAAACAAGTGACTAAACAAATTGGACAAACACATAACCCAAACAGTCAAAAGTACAGTTAAGTTTCAAACAATATGAAATTGCTATTTTCTGTGCAAAATAAAAAAGGAAATAATCAAAGGAAGTAAAATTTATTCAGTCTATATGATTTTTGTTAAGTTTAATATCAATATATTAGTTCATTTTAAGATGGATAAATGTGTAGCTCGCGGTTACAACCAAGTAAAATCTGGCAGCAACTCGTTAAACTGTCATTCTCAAAATAATGAACGAGTTCAACGCTCTGAAAAGTTATAGTGCGTTATCGTTCCTAAAAGCTTAAGAATGTTGCAAAGAATACCAGAGAATGGTTAAAACTTAAAAGTTGAAAAAATTTAATGCAGACAATGCAAATCCCTAATATAAATTAGAAAACCTAATGTTTATATTTGTTTATGTGCTTTCGTTTCGGGATCTAGAGCTTAAAGAATGTTTGTCCGATAAATTATAAGCCGTGTTTAAAATAAATGATTTTTTTTAACAATAATAAACTATTATTCTTGTATTATTTATATAATTTTCAGCGAAAATGAGTGTTTCCGATTTAACTCGAGAAATTGTTGATTCTAATGCTGATAGATCAAATCCACTATCGAGAAAACTGAATAAACTCTTAGAAGCCCGTTTAGATTCTGATAAAGTGAGTTGTAATTTGTTTATATATGATCAAGTATTTAATTTCATTCATGTTAGTGAACTATATAAATATATGTGTCTTATCATTTACTCTTACAATGTGTAGCTGAAAAAATAACTGCTCATTAATATTTAAGCTGCGAAAGTTTTTTTTGTTTGCTTTTTAAGTTTTTAGTATCGTTATTAGTCTGCATTCAGGAAATATCTGCATTCAGAAATACGTGCACTAAGCTTAAATAATAATATTGTAAAAAATTTAGTATAAGAATAATAATAGTATAAAAGTAATAATAATGGTCTATTATAAAAATAATACTGTGTCATTGGGGAAGATTTCCTTACCTGGTACCTGTGCTAAAATAATCTCCAAGTCTTGGGGACTTCCGGGGCAGCAAAACAACACATGAGAAACTAACTGGGGGACCATGAAATGTATGACTCGTCAACTACACAATATTTTTTTCTGAATTTTGAAAGTATTGAAAATACATATTGTATTAAAGACGTTTAATTGCCCTTTGAGGTTTTTTTTGTCCTTCTTTACATTTTGTGTAATACATAATTCACAGTTCTGTTTGGCAATTAAAGATTTTTTTAAAAAATTTGAAATTGTCCTTTGAAAATGTAGTTTCTACAATTTTTAGCAGTTATTTCACTTTTAAGATTTATCATTATTTTTGTTTGAAATGTTCATTTTATCATAAAATTTTTTTTCCATGTTGATTTTCTGAAATTTATTATTATTTTTTAGTTGAACAATTTAATGGGTATTAAATTATAAATGACTTTATAAGATTTATTTCCTCTTTTAATTTAATTTTGTAATTTATACACATTTAAATTTCTGAAATAGGAAACTTTAGATGCACTTAGAGATTTGTCTACCTTTTTCACTGAAAACAATATTGAAAATCGAAGAAACTTGCGAAGTGAAATTGAAAAGAGGAGCTTACGTGTAAATGAAGAATTCCTAGATTCCTTTCGAGATATGAAAGAGGTATTTGTTTAACTAAATGGGTACAAACTATTTAATTTGAACAAATATTTTTAATGTACATCCATTTAGTTTTTCAAATTTGATATATAATGTATATTTAATATAACATTTAGGCTCTAGATGATTTTTACGAAGATGTTATGGCAATGAATGATTGTTGCGGGGAAATGATGAATCGGTTGCAGGTAATTTTTTTTCTTTACTTATTCTTAACCTTATTACTAATTAAATCATTTATAACACTAGATATTTTGTTATCAACTTGTATTATATTTTGTTGCATAAGCAAAAAACCTGACTTAAGATTTAAAATATTTTAAACGAATATTAAGTATTTATTAGTGGGTATTTCTCACATATAAAAATTAAATCTTAATGTTTAAATTTAGAAATTTTTATCTTTCCTAATTTTAAAACTCATTAAATCTTTAAAACCGAAAATATTTCAATGGAAATAGCATGTTTGGTTTTAGTTTTCTTCTGAGATATTAATTCAATTTTTCATCAGATATTTAACTATTTTATATAATGTAAGCAGACATTTCCTTGTAAAAGTAGGCAATATTTCTTACCTAAAAAAAACATTTTATTTTAATAATATTGAATAGTATCCATAATTCATTTTATTTGTAATATATTTATTTTGTATAATTTTTATTTTAATTTTTAATAATTTATGTGCCTTTATCCTACCACTAATTATGATTTTTGTTAAATCACTTCATATTTCATTTCATCACTTCATATTTCACTTGTATATTTCATGGATTTTTTCTTCTCCAGACTACAAAATCTCAAACTCATGACTTGATCAACGAGACTACTAAATTGCAAGCTGAAAGGTATGTTTTACTAACTTTATTCAACTTACATTTATTTTTCACAGTTTTTATTTTATTATGTTCATTCTTTTATTTTTTTTTTATTATTATGGTTTTTATTTATATTAATTTTGTTAGTAGGTACTATAATGAAAATAAAAAAGTAAACTCTGTACTAAACAGCAAAATAAATAGAGCAATAGTACTAATTCGTAAGTAAAAGAATTCAACATACTATTACTGAAGCCAATGATTCATAATTAATTTTGGTAATAGGTACTCTAATTAAAATTAAATTTTAAGTTATATACTAAAAAGCAAAATTAATGGAGATATGATACTAATTTATTTAGATAAAACATAAAAAATTGACATGCTATTATTGAAGCCAAATTTTAAGTTATATACTAAAAACAAAATTAATGGGAATATGATTCTAATTTATTTAGGTAAAACATAAAAAATTGACATGCTATTATTGAAGCCACTATTACTTAATTAATTTTGGTAATAAGCTCTCTTTATATTATGGTAAAATTGGCAGTTTTAATATAGTAATATAGAAAGAGATCTTTTACAGGCCTTTAAAAGGAATAAGTACCAGAAAAAATTGCTTAATTGTGGTAAATTTTTAACATCAGGAGTTGGATTGTGTACAATATTATAAACTATAAAAGCTTTTGGAAGCAATGAGCTATCATTTTCTATTCTTTTCGATTAATTTCATTACTTTAACTAGCTATTTCAATATTTTGTTATACTCAATTAAAACTTAAATTTGACTCTTTATTGAAGAAATTATTGACATATTAAATCATAGTGGAATATTGGAATACACATTGTGTATTTTTATTTTATTTTTATGAATGTAATTTCTTCAACATGAATAAATTAAATAATATTTTTCACAATAGTTTTAAAAATTGTTTTGGTTCTTTTCACAGTAATTTTTTAAAGGATTTTGGAAATTTTTTAAAATTTATTTTAACTGTTAAATTTTTATTATTCTTTTTATTTGAATGGCATTAATATTAAAAATACTTAAGAATTTGTTTTATATTTTACTCTTCTCATCTTTTTTCTTTACATTGTAAACATTTTTTATGAAAAAGTCTTTTTTTTTTAAAATTTTATCAATTAAAATTTTATTCATTTTTTCTGAAGTAATATTGGCATTTGAATTCCTTATTCAATTTAAGAACATTTTTAATAAAGAGAGGAACTTTTTCAGTCAAAAAATACAGATGAAGCAAGAAGTAACTCAAGCTTTTCTTGATACTTTTCATTTAAAGTCTGAAGAAGTTAAAGTTCTTAGAGGCACTAGAGATGGAAATTTAGATGAAGTAATGAAATTTTTTTAAAATCTCACTTATGTTTAATTTTTTAAACTCACTTTGCTTATCAAAATTCTTTTGAATTTCATTTAATTTAAAGATGTGATATTCTTGTGCATCTTTCTCGATATTTAAACAACATTTTAATGAATACACTTGTTTGAAGTTTCTTTTAGTCAATGAACTGAATTACTTCTTGTGTATCTTCTTTGTTATTTAAATAACATTTCAATAAATATACATTTATCAGAAGTTTTCTTTTAGTTAGTGAATTGAGTTAATTCTTATGTTAATTCTTATGTATTTTTCTTGTTATCTAAACAACATTTTAATGATTACATTTATTTGAAGTTTACTCTCAGTTAGTGGGCTGAGTTACTTCACCTTCTTAAATAGTAGTGTCGTTTATATATATTTGGGCTCTTCATAAATATTTTATTTTAGTTCTGGTAACTTATAAATTTAGATATTATGATAAACAAATAAAATGAAGGCAGGAAAATGTCTTATGATTTCAGATTTCAGTTCTAATACAACAAATGTTATACACAAAACTGAGTTTTAACTGAAATTAATAAAATTAAATTTATAATCTATACCTCTAAAGAGAGTACATAGAATGAAGTTATCTCATTTATATTGCCAGAAGCTTGAAAAAGTTAACAGTTCTGAATGATGCCGATTTTGGGTACATATGATATTTCTAGGCATGTAAGTCAGTTTTCATTTTAGATGGGTGGAGACCATAAAAATGAAATGTTACAATAATGTCAGTTTTTGAAACATTTTAATTTCATAGAAATTAAAATGTACTATTCTACAAAAACATGGTAATAATTTCAATTGAAATACATATTAATAATTTTTTTTTGTATTTAATAATTTGCTTATTTAGTAATGGCTATATTATTATTATTTTAGAATTTTTTCAAGGCACTTGTTAGAGTTAAAACCATACATAATAATTGCAAAGTCCTTTTAAGAAGTAGCCAACAAACTGCTGGGTAAGATTTCGTTTAAATGTGAATTAATGTAATTTAGTTATCTACTATGATATGCAGTTGTCTAACACTATATTCTACTTTAAGCATAGAGATTATGGAATCGATGGCATTACAACAAGAAGCTGCTTATGAGAGATTATATCGCTGGACTCAAAGTAAGCAAGTTTTTTCCTTATGTGTTTTTAAAATTTTGCTGTAAAGATTTTGTTTAAAGTAGTAAACAGTGCAAGATGCTTATAATCTCAAGTTATCCTTTTTTTAAATCCAATTTTAAAAGTTTAATTTTGAAATAGTTGTATAAATTTTTTTGAATGCCTATAGTTTATTTATTTATTTTTGTTTCATTCCGTTGGTAATTCTTTTAAAATTGTGCTCATTCTTTATGCTGCATTTGTTTTGTTTTCTAATGGGGAATAATAAATAAAAATTATTATATTTAAATTGACTTTCAACTGTGAATTTATTCTGATAGTTTTTTAGAAATTTCTATAACTTCCTAAATTTATGCAACAAAAATTTACAGCTTTATAATATGGCTACTCTTTTTCAGTTTTAATGTTAATGATGTAAATTAGCTTACTTATATAACTTTTCTGCTACTCCAACTCGAGTAGTTCTCTATTACATTTAAAAGATCTTCCATTTACTAAATAATGTTAGTTGTTGTGTTTGTACTCAGAAATTTGTTCTTATTTGTTTGCTTTTTTCTTTCTGGAAGGTATTATGCTCTGTGAGCAATTGAGGGAAACCAAATTTGTCTAAACTATAACAAAGATTACACAGCTCTGCATTACTGTTTTATTAAGGATGCATATATAGCATTAAAAAAGTTAGTATTTTAAAAATCCTGTTACTAAAATTTTCTTTTAAATATTTTAGGTGAGTGTAGATTATTAAACATCGATTCTCCAGAATTGAATCCTTTATTATGTCAAGCTATGGAAAGCTTGCAAGATCGTCCTATTCTTTTTCAATACTCCTTAGACGAGTATGCCACTGCTCGTAGAGCAGCAGTAGTGAGATCGTTTATTGATGCATTAACTAGAGGAGGTATTATTTTATTACTTTACTTTTCATTTTTTACATTGCAAAGTGTTTACTAAATACTGTTCAATATAACTCAAACTAATTTTAGTAATTCATGCTACCATCATCAAATAAAATAATTAGGGAAAATAGTGATCATTTTGATGCATGTTATTAGTATATTAGTTTCATACTATATATAATATCATAATAAAAGTTCAACAGTCTCTATTTATTAATTGTAAAACAAAATTTTATCTGTGTTAAAGCATTTAATAACCGCTCCTCTTAAAAAGGAAAATTACTAACGGAATTTTTGCAAAGCAATATTTTACTTAATAACTAACAGAATAGTTGTTTTTTTTATTCTTCATAAGCATGTAAAAGTTTCCTTTAAAATTAATAGTTTATTTAAAAAAAAGTCATTAACAAGGCATTAAACACATTAAAAAGGAAAAATCCTAAAATACGTTGAAAATACTACACTGGTTAAGAACAATCATTTTCGAAAATAACACATTTCTAAGTAAATGCCAAGACATGTTTTAACTTAAAAATGAATCACTCGAGGGGTCTAGCATTTCATAATAAGAATGAATGCGTTTTTCAAAAAAGATATGATTGATATTGTACTCTGTAGAAATTTATTGATAATATGAATTCATCATATGAATCTAATGCATGCATATGAGACTTCACGTCCATTTTTTCATAATGGTGCACTAAACACTTTTTATTGAAAATGTGAACTAATGCATACTTCACTAACTTTTTGATCATAGATCATGACTACCTAGGATAAGAATTTTCTGGGTTATGCTACTTTTCTATCATTTAAGATGTTTCTCACTTAGGATGTTCAAGATGTTTCTCATTTAATGTGTTATAACATCAAAAGAAATAGTGGTTTAAATGATTTCTTTGAAATATTTTTAAAATTAAATAACTGAATTTTTTGTCTTTGTATGGGAATAAATGTTTTGGTGCAGTTCTTCGATTTAAGATTAAAATAAATCTTGCCTATGAATAGGAAATGGGACTTAATGTTTTGGAAGTTGTTTTAAAAAAACACTGTAATAAAGGTTGCACTAAAGAGTGAAAATTATATTATTACTTACCTTGATCTAAATTAGATTGAAACATATTGTTACAAAAAAGCAGTTTTTTTTAAAAAATTTTAGATTTGTTTTTGATTTTAAATTTCTGTAGAAAAATATTGTTCCTATTTAATTCGGTAGAAAAATATTGTTCCTATTTAATTTTATAAATAATGTGTACACATCCATTACATTAAGGTTTTAGACTAAATTGTGTACCTTATGGTGAGATTGCATTGCTGAAATATTTGACAATAAATATTGCAGTCATTTTTACTGTCTATATTATACATATATATGTTTAATGTTATTTATTGTTTAATAATTTTTCTTTTTTAAAAAAAAAGGTGTAAGTGGAACTCCTAAACCGATAGAGATGCATTCGCATGATCCTCTACGGTATGTTGGAGATATGCTAGCTTGGTTGCATCAAGCAACAGCCTCAGAAAAAGAAGTGTTGGAAACTGTTTTAAAGAAATGCACGTGTAAAGGTACATTAAAAATTGAAATTCAATAATCATTTCAACATAATATTTCAGAAAATTCTTTGTTATTGCGCAAATGCAGCAAGCAGATCGGTTAAAAGTTTGAATATAAATATTTCTTGTTGTTTTTAATTTCTTTTTAAAGTAAATTTAGAGATCTAATTGTTTTAAAATGTACTGTTTGTCATTATATATCATACACACTTTCTCAAATTATGAATAGTTCTAAAAAGAAAATAAAAATTTGTTTTTTAATCTCTACAGGAACTATTATTTCCAATGTAACACAATTTTTTTCTGATGTTCATAAAAAAGGATATTTTAATAATTAGTTTCATAAACTTAAATATATCATACCTGAGCTAATCAAAGCTCTATTCTAATTTAATATAATGAACATATGCTAAAGTTTTGTAAAAATGCAAAGTTTAAATTAGCTTTGCTCATCAGTTAGTACTTCTAAGATTAAAAGCAGAGATTATGGCATTAAACAGTTTAAAGTCTTCCAATTATTTAAAACACTAAAAAAATTTAACTGACTTGGTTGAAGTAATTTAAGACAATCTATCTATTATAAAAATGTGCTCTTTAACAGCTGGAGGTATCATTAATTTTTTCATAAAAATCTGTGTAAGTAAACGTTCATTTAAAAAAAATATAATTTAAATGCCTAAATTTATTAAAAATATGAAGATATTTTACAAACATTTTATTACATGAATTTTATATTATTATAAAAAATTTGTTATTGCAGATTTGAGTAAAGAGATACAAACTTCTCTTTCCCACATCACCGAAGGACTCTGCAGGCCACTGAAAGTGAGAGTTGAGCAAGTCATTGTTTCTGAGCAGGGTGCTGTGACTCTTTTTAAACTTGGATCTGTTTTGAAATTTTATTTACATACTATTCGGTTTGTACTATCTTTATTGATATTTTTATTTAATGTAAATAAGTGATAAAACCAGAGGTGCTGACTATTACAATTTATCAGTAATTGTTATGATTTCACAGTGAACATTACAGGATAAATGAAAATTTCAGTTTTTGATATTTTCCATAATTATTTATTCAAAATATGTTTCTTTTTCCTCTTAATCACCAAAAAATATTAAATTATGTTGTTTGCAACTAATAGTTCATTTCTATTCCTTAAGAAATTCTAAAATTAGTACCAAATCAATTTGATAGAAACAAAGCAGAGAAATTTCATATTTCCCCATTTGAACAATCTATTATAAAATATAATTTTCCCTCCTTATAGACAAGAAAAAGAACATAAACTCAAATCTGAAGATTGTGAGTAAAGATTTATAGTGGCTTAAATGCAGGATGATGTGTTTCAATTTTACCAAAAACTAAAACATTGATCCCAAAGTAATCCATTTATAATGATTTTATCTTTTATAATGAAGTATAAAGTTTTAGTGTTGTATAATTTTGAAAACGGACATTATGTCATTAATTCACTGTCTTGTAACATAAAATTAGTTAAAATGTTTACTTATATTTCATAAATACTGTACTTGATTTTTCAAAAACATGCTACTCTTTAAAGTTGATTTATGATACTGAAAAATGTGCAGTTTTTTTATGTCAATAAAGTACAAGTATTATTTAATATTGAACATTAAAAGTTAAAATTACATTAAATTTTTTTCCAAATGGCATTTTTTAAAAATTGCGCATAAACTTTAGCCAGTCATTCAGTGCATTTTCTAGATTGTGAAATTTTGTTTCACTGAAGCATTATCATGAATTTAAAACACTTTGTTATTCTGAATTTAAAATTTCGTCGTGATTTTTAATTATTGTAAGCAAAATGTTTTTTATGATCTAGAATAGTTTTAACACTTTCTGATTTTGACGTTATTCTTCTATCTACTTCCCTTAAAATTTTTAATTTCTTCTCCAAGCATAAAACATTGCACTGGATAGAAACAGTCACTTCCTCTAAATAATATATGTCTAGAAATCTAAGTAAAACTAAAATCTAGAAGAAAGCAAATTTTACCATGTATTTTAACATCAAATAAACCACTTCGCAAAAATAGTTAATTTTTTTTACCATTTACGCTTAGGATTTCTTCGGTTATGAATAGGTAATCCTATAACTTTTTCTTAATTCATAGAGAATTAAAGATGTTTCATGTTTATTGAGCAGTGACATCAAAAGAAATGGTAGTTTGAATATTTGTCTCATGACTTTTATTCTCTATTGACTCATTTTCAATTTAAAAATGTTAAATTTGAAAGCACAAAAAAAAAAATTTCCTAACACTTATTTTTGATTTATTTTCTAAGAATAAAAAAGAAAAATTTCGGTTGCTGAATTGGATTGAAAAGTTCAGTTTGGACGTTCTAATGGGGGTTAAAAGAACATTGCGTTTAGGGAACAGCAAACGAGATTTCATGTAACGGTCGTTCTTTCGGAAAGATTGCACTAAAAAGTGTAGACTGTATTATATACCTACATGGAGTTTAGTTGTATATACACCTTAAAATTGCAGTTGTTTGAATTTTGTAAACTATAAGTGTATTTGTTAATGTATTTTTGGGCTTTATATTACTAATATCTAGTTTGACAAAAGGTGCATATCTGTAGAATTATTATTTATATTTTATTTCATACAAATATAAGCTACCAATGTGTTTTTTATTTGTAATTATACATTGTTATTTATTTTTTCTAGACAAGTTATGACTTCTGAAGCTGCTCTTTTGACAACATTAGAGGAAATGCTCACTTTATCTCAAAAAATGTTTTACAACAGCCTGTCTTGTCATTGTAATAGAATTTTAGAAAAGATTGACCTCCCACCGGCAGATTTAGGTCCACCTGAAGGTCTTAAACAAACTTTAACACTATTACGTGAAGTTTTATCTTGCCAAGATGCCTGCCTTGTTACTATTGATGACAGGCAAAAAGATGTTCCGCAGGTATATCTAGATTTAGTTAAATACTGAGTTTATTATACATATTTGTTAATTATGAATTTTCTTTTAAGTTTATTATATGTTTAATTTCAAAGAAATTATAAAACTTCTATGCCTCTGTTATAAGTAAAAATATAATTGATTATATATTGTTGCGAATTAAATATGTTTATTACAACAATGGATGAAATGAATGATTATTTGATGATGATTGATTTAATGATGGTTTCGGAATAACATTAGGTGATACTTCACAATATTAATAATATTAATTGGAATAGAATGAAATTGGATTTGGATATTGAATATAGAAGAGAATATGAATTAGCCATAGAATAAAAATTGCAATTACTGATTTCAGAGTAAAAAAACAAACAAGACAATGACTCGCCATATCCAAATGCAAACATAGCAGATGACATAGTGATAGGATGTTTCAAATAAAATATATATATATATATNTATATATATATATATATATACATACATCTGCCAACTTGTTCGGCTGTTGAGAAATAATTTTCTTAGTGCTTTGAATCATTAAGTCTTGAAGTTTTAAGTTTCAAAAAAATTTTTTAACTACACAACGCTTCAATAATTTAAAGAAATAAGTAGGTAGGATCTATTGTTTGTATTGTTTATGAGTAAATCTATTGTTGTTTGTTAATTATGCTCATGGATGTCTTAATGGAATAGTTTTTAGAAAATTCTTTCAAACTTAATTGCTGCTTTACTACCACTTTGTGAAATCTTTTTCAACAACTGCACAAGTTAGAAGTATGTATGCCGACGAATTAAAAATGTGCTCGATGTATACCAGAGAAATAAAACAGCTAGCTCAAAAATAAGGACAATTAAAAATGGCTTCTTCATAGTACTTTAATTTTTATTTTATTTATTATATTAAATAAAAAATGTATTCAGTATATTTACTTTTAAATTGAGAAATAATTCCTAAATTTAAGAAAAATCACTTGAAAATTGTGCTTAAAATAAACTTATTTTGTTATAAAATTAAGGGTTCATAAAGGTTTTAAAAAATTTAAAGATAAGATTTAAATAAAAGAACAATTTGTAACATTACACAAAGTGTAACTGTAACAGTCTGTAAAAAATGTTTTCATATAATATCTAAAATATTAATAAGATGTAAAATATGAAATTTTTTATAATAACATTTTCTTCCTATTTTGTTAAAATTGAAACATATTTTATCATGCTTTTTTGTACAAAGTTTATTATTTTTTTAAGATTTAATTTATGAAACATTGTTACACAGCTAATATAAATACAAAAAATGTAACTGAATTTTGATAATATAAATTTATAAATAAATTTATATAAATAACAAAAAATAATGTAATATAAATTTTATAAATAATAATAATTATAATAATCACTATAAATTTTTTGCATTAGTTTAATTTCTGCTAAAAAATTATTAGGAAATACAAGTTGTATTTATATTTTATATCCTTGTATATTCTTTGTATATAGTTTTCTTTTTACTCAGATAATGTTTAAAACAAATGCATAGGTTGGTGATAAACTAATTCTTAATTTCTCTGCCATAATTAACTTTCAGAAGTTAAACACTTTCTTTCACTTCAAAAATTCTTTAATATTTTGCATGTCAAAACAATTATAATACATTGAAAATCACAATCAAAGCTTTCAGATATTTCACAATTTTTATGCATGGTAAGCTTAAAATTGCTATAATAACAAAAATATGTCTCTTTTGAATAACAATGATGTTTTAAACTATTTTTCCTATAGCCACTTGATTACATTATTTTTGAAATTAAGTATCTAAACATAGTAATAGGTATCAGTTATCAGCTCTTTATTCAGTTTGACTTTATGAATTTAGTTTTGTTCAGATTTCAAGTCATTATTCTACCATTTTGCAGATTTTGACTGCTGTTATAGAACCATTACTTCAGATGTGCCATGTTTCAGCATCAAAGCTTGCCAGTGCTGATATGGCTGCATATCTTGCCAATTGTATATATTTAATCCATTCATCTCTGATGTTATTTGAATACACTGACAAATATCTTGAAATGCTTCAAGCTCAAGTAAGAACCATGAAACTATTAAAATTTTTTAAATTGTATGATTAAAAAATAGATGTGTAGGTTAGTGGTTCATTAATGATCTTCTAGCTATCTGGCAGCTCGTTACTAACCTAGTTGAGTTTAAGTACAAGTTGAAGTGTTATGTGTAGCAGAGTATACAGTATCATGAAAAGAATCGATTCTGAAAGAACTGATTCTGAAAAATACTTGAAAAGTCAAAGACGTAGGTGTTCGATATTCTTATCTACAAGTATCAAATAAAGGAGTTCTATGTGAAGTTCAACAGATAAAGAGGAGTCTGACAAAGTTATCGATGAGTTCCCTCATAAAAAAAAAATTAATTCAAGCAATGATTGTAATTGGATAATTTTATAGTTCCACAACATTCTTCTCAGGTTTAATTGCTGCCATTCATTAAATACAGAACTAGTAATCCTGTCTATTATCTGTAGTCTACTCTGGATGTGTTAACAGATATGCCTAAGCTGACATCACTTCACTATCTTCAGAAAAATGATCATTGATCAATCAGTAACTAGTAGCAACCAATAGGAATTCGAACAGGAGTACTAATAATCCAACGGAAATAGTGTGAACAATTGGTTGCCATTCACAATCACAAAATTGAGGCAATTGATTGATTTATTCTACTCAAGTGATATATGTAGTTTTATCTGGTGAACTCTCTGGAACTATCCTGTGTTCCGGTAATAAGACTTGAGACTAATAAACAACTAAAGAAAACATTTATTAGATTAAACAAACATTTCACATGCCCAGCGTGTTCTTGTTCGATACAGCTTCAGTAATTTGGCTTAGACATCTCTATTTCATATTTTAGTTTATTTATGTATTGCTAATTTAACAATAAATATGTCTTTTTTCTTTTAACGACAAATGCATTACAATGACAATCCCACCTGCTATTTTAAATTGTTGTTACAACAGATTTTTACTATGTATTTATGTATATATATGTAAGAAGCTAAACCAAATTCTTAACTTATTTTTTTTATTAAAAAAATATTTTTCCCTAGGCTATAATTTGCGCTGCGCTGTAATTTTATGTGTTTTAAATAAGAAAATATTTTATTATTTTAAAGGTTTTTTACGTGTCATTAGTTTTTTTTTACAATACTTTCATTTGCTTTGATTCTTTTTATTATTATTATCAGAGTTTATACATTTTCTAAAAACTTAGAGAATTTTCTAAAGCTCAATTTTTTTCTTCCTTATATTTTCCTTGAAAACTCAAAAGTATTTTTTCTATAGATATTGTAGCTTCTCAAATTATTATCAATGTATCTTTCCCGTAAATGTGCATTTCTGATAGACAGACAATTTTTTCAGTCGCAAAAGTGTTCGCCTAACTAACAGATTTCACTATATTTCAAGAAAAGTTATTAAAGTAAGTTCAGATTGAGAGCAGTTATAAAGAAGAAAATATTAAATAAATTATCCAAATTGTTGTTCGAATATTACTCGAAATGAAAAATAAACTTTTTATGTTAAAAAAAAAAAAACATTTTAAAAGTGTTATGCAAACCAAAGCTTCTTAAAATATGGTCAAAATTAAATATGAAGACAAATATAATTAACCTACTTCATTATGCCCTATTAAGTTTAGATTAAATGAATTTTTCATCTGCTATTTTATCTGTCTAAAAAACAACATTTTCTGAACAAATTGTGAATTGACGAGAAATTTCTTTTCAAATTCACTCAAATGAGAAATACTTGGTCAGTTAAAAATACACTTACAATCCCTGTTACAAAAGTTCTATATACTTTTGAGAATCTTTTATCTTTTTTTAATATTGACATTTTAAATATTATTTTATTTAATTGATTAAGTTATTTTTGATAGTTTAAAATTTCCTGATTTAAGCATGTTTTTCAACTTTCTGAAGAAAAAAAAATTTAAAACTTATATGTATTTATCTATGTACATGTTAAAATACTCAATTAGTTACACAATTTCTTATTAGAACTTACATAAAATAATTGTGCTGGTGAAAAATCACAAGCAGAAGCTTAGAATCTGTAATTAAGAGAGATATATTTGTTATATATTGTGAAATATTTTGGCACCAGATTACGGAATGCAAGGTTCATTTATTTTTATTTTTTTAATTTTATAGTTCTTTTCTATTTTAAACCATCTGATACCATGTTGTGCTTTCAATGCACAATCAGGGAGTATAATAAAATGCTATTGAAAATGTTTTATTATTATTTGTGAACATCTTACAAAGATTAACTGGTTAATTGAATTGTAAGAAATTTACAAAAACGTGCATAAGTGAGCATTATATATTCTTAGTTTAACACTCTTTTAAGTTTAAAATGTAGTGTTTTCAGATCTGCAAAAGGAAATATTTTAATTTGTTTCTGAAAAACAATAATGGATTTCCAGGGTCTTCAATAGTAAAGTATGTATAAATAAAACTAATGTTGAAAATTATGTATATAGAGTGAAAGGAATTCTATAATTTAGGCATTAAAACATTGAATGTAATTTGATTAATTAGTAACTTTGTAAGAAAGGATTTTATTAATTAATATTTTTATACATTTTTTAATTAGTTACTGTTCAAAAATCTGCTTTTTAAGTTTTTATCAGCTATAGCAATTTTTTTTTTCATCATTACTTTTTTTTATATTTACATATATATCTAAAATAAATTCTTCCCACCTATTTTAGATGGATGCCCATTTAGATACATTAGTGAGTGAGCAAGCTTCAACAATTGTGGGACAATTAGGTTTAGGTGCCCTGTATACTTCTCTTCAAGATTTCCAGCCTAAGCATGGACCCTTGTCTAGCCTTCCTGGTTGTGATGCCTTGGCTGTTCAAGCTGCTGTTGTAAGTTGTTTTCTATTTATCATTGTATGACAGATTTGAGCGGGTTTTTTGTTTGTTCTGTAGATGAAACTATATGATTCTGTACGTACAAAAGGTGCTTAAGTCATATATCAAAAACAAGTTGAACAATTTCAATATTCATTGATTAATATATCTCTTTGATTGTTTTGTTCAAGTTTTCTCACAAATCAGTATATCAGACATGACAACTTTTCCAGCAATATCTATAAATTAAAATTACAATTTTAAAATTTTAATTGTTTATGAGAGAAAGCTAGTTTTAATTTCAAGTCTCGAACACACAGCGATGATTAGTCTGAGAAATTTAAATGTATTTCATTATATTATTTCAAAATGAATTTTATTTCTTTTCTAGAAAAAACTTGAAAGTTTTCTTTCTTCTCCTGATTCATTGACGATTCCACAAAGTATTCTCCTCCTCTCTGCATCTTTAAGGTAAATATTTTAAACATTTCTTGTTTTTATTTTCTTTTAAATTGGAATATGAATTAATATGTGTATTTTTTAAGGCAAACTCTTAGAAAAAGATCAATGGGGCTTCTCTGCAATGCTTATAGCCAAATATTTGAAGCTGTTAATATGCCGAACAACAACTATCCTGATCCAAGTCTATTACTTCCAAGAACGCCAGAACAAGTTAAAAATTTAATTTTGTAAAATAAAATGTATTTATGATTGTTATATTTTCTTTTTTTTTTATTTATTTAAGATGTATTTTATGGGTTAAAGAAATAAATATATATATTTTGTGTTGAAAAATTTCTTGATGATAATTTTTTTTTAAGTCTGTAATTGAATATACATTTAATTGTAAAAAGTAGTGGCACATATGTATTTAAAATTAACCCTTTGCTTACGGGGTACCATGTAGTACCTTGTACCATCACCTGTTGTCCACATGTACCCGCCATAAGCAAAAGGTTAACGTCTCTTTTTTGCAAAATCATGGGTGTCAAATGATCTGAAAAATCGAATTTCACAAACAAATGTACTTGAAACAAACTAAAAAAAACCTTTGCTCACATTCAATTAAGAGCAATTCTGTACAATTAAAAAAAGTATTAATAAATGTGAAAAAAAGAGTATTAAAATTTCAATAATTAGAAACGCCACATTTTAGAACAGGGGTTTCCAACTTACATGAGGCCCGGGGGCCACAAATCAAATGGCGGGTCGCAACTTTATAAAAAAAATTTGTAGGACTCTTTTATGTTTGAAGGAACATTAAATATTACTGTCAGAGTTTTATCAAGTTGAACAAAACAAAAGTATTGAATTACAAATCAAAATAAGTAGATTTTTAAAAATATTTAATTGTTATTAATAATATTTTTTAAAATATTGAGTAAATAATAAAAGTTCGGGCTACAATAACTTTCAAGTGTGCACCTATGTAATTAATAATTAATGTCCAACAGATATCTAATTGTTAAGGTATTAAAACTTACATGCACACAAAATATTCAATGAGAAAATTGAGGTTTGTCTGCTGCAACTACCAGAGAATAGATATTTACATTTAAAATTTACAAATATGTGTTCCAAAATGAGTGGTTTCAAAAAGTTAAATCGGAGAATTTCTTCGAGAAAATTTCTGATACGCACATGCTAAATTATATTTACAAAATGCTCGACTTCGCGCGCAGGTCGTCGGGCTACCGAAGCGGGGGTGCCATCCCTTCCGCAGAGGATCAAAATTGTGATGGCATGTCTTCGGATCATCCTCCGGGATGTTTCCCAGACCGTCGCCAATAGTCCATTGTGCAGCTCTAGTGCGACGTAAAGTAACAACAACAACAATATTTACAAAATACGAAAAAAATGAAATAAAAAAGAGCAACATACACGATTATTTTTGTATTTGAATAAATATTTTCTTGGATGCAAAACCTGAAAATTAAATTTCTTTTATGTTAAATTTCACAGAAATGAAGAAATTAGGTTTTTATGAACGAGAAAAGTATTTTAAACCCATATAGATTTCTTACGAAAATTGTTCGCAAAAAAATGACAACTAATATATTTTAGTTCGCGGGCCACAAAAAAAGGCTTCGCGGGCCGTATGCGGCCCTCGGGCTGCCAGTTGGAAAGCCTGTTTTAGAAGAAGCCTGTTTGTTTAGCGTTTGTGGTCAAATTTTTTAATGTTTAAAAACTTACTCCAATGCTGTATTATTTAAGCTCATAAAATTTTAAATAGTGCATTGATTTTGATAATTTTCATCTAAGAGGAAAAATATCGCCAAATTAGCTATTTTTAAAAATGTTTAATAATTTTTAAAATATTTTAGTTTATTAGGAAAATTTAAATTTTCAAATTTACTTGACGCAAACTAGTAAAACAAAGTAAGTTAAATGTGTTCCTTTAATTTATACACATTCAGTTAAGAGTAGTTCTGTTCAGTTAAGAAGAGTATTAATAAACTAGGAGGCTCCGCCCCCTGCTCGCTAACGCTCGCCAACCCCCGAGAATTGCTACGCAATCCTATGTGGTTCACGCCGTGAACCATGGCTCGCTGCGCTCGCTCGCCAATGAACACAATGTTCTAGCACAAAGACATAATATATTATCATCAAAGACATAGTATTTTATCATCAAAGACATAGTATTGTACTTATGTAGAAGAATTCTACCAATGTTCTTATTGGCTTTTAAAAAAGTATATTAGCTATTTAGATTGTACATGGTGAAAAAATCAAAACATTAGCTAAATAAGAAACATATTAGCAAAATAAATTATCAAATATTGCTTCACTAATATTCTGCATTTTAAAGCGTGAAAATTCAATGCATAAATAAACGCGAAATATAAAAAAATTCAATGCATTCAATACAAACACTTAAACGTTTTTTAGACGTTTAGGTAGCTCCCAGTAGAAAAATATCAATTCAACAGCGGCCTTTTAAAGCATTCTCACTTCAATTAATTAATTAATTCCTAATTGAGTTTAAATTAAATATTGTCATGTTTTTAGTGCATGAATCTGAATTGAACAACCTGATAATGCTCACTCTGGTTATTGTTATCTGGTTGCTCACTACGTGCTCTTGCGCGCCGAATCCAATCAATTAAAAATGAAAACTGTTGCCAGCGCGAGAAAAGAAATATCATCGGTTTTATTGATACATACGTACGTACGTATTAGCGTTTTATATAATATTGTTGTTGTTGTTGTTAATTTACGTCGCACTAGAGCTGCACAATGGGCTATTGGCGACGGTCTGGGAAACATCCCGGAGGATGATCCGAAGACATGCCATCACAATTTTGATCCTCTGCAGAGGGGATGGCACCCCCGCTTCGGTAGCTCGACGACCTTATATAATATAGATAGATAGATAGATGTGTGTGATGGAAATAAGAAAATACTTCATAAAAAATACTCTTAAAGTCCACAACTTATCTTTAATATTCTTTAAAACATAGCTCCCAACACTCCAAGTCAAATTCCTGGAATCGAAGGAACTGTAGTCCTATGAAGTTATGCTTTTTTGCGTATTATATGCTATGTTAATAAGTGATGTGAGATTGAAACAGTTACTCATGACGGTAAGGTCAAGAATGACAATAATTAGAAAAGCCACACTTTTAGAAGAATCGTTTGTGGTCTAATTTTTTAATGTCTGAAAACTTACTCGTATGCTGTATTATTTAAGCTCAAAAAATTGAAATTAGGCATTGATTTTGATAATTTTCATCTAAGTGGAGAAATATTGCCAAATTAACGATTTTTTAAAAAAGTGTGAAAATTTTAAAAATATTCTAGTTTATTTGCTCGTTCTAAAACTCAGATAATTCTTACTACAAGATGACACATACTGTTTAAAATTACATCTTTCCTTCAAATGTAAGGCGCTGAAACTGTGGTTTTTTTTATTATTCTTTGCAAAAGAGCATAAAAAAAAACAATGTTTCAGATGAGCTAACAAAGATGTTCAAAGATTTTTTTGTGATTTCTATGTTTTTAAAGCTAGTTAGCTGACTTAATTTACTATAAATTCCAGAAACATTTCTTGTGTTCTTTGATTTTAATAAACTTGTAAGTTTCTCAGTTTAGAGAGCCATAATATTAGTTTGTTGCTATGCAAAAATGTTTCAGAAAGGAGAAAAATATTTTTTTCCCATTATAAATCTGATTTAGTCCAACCGGATAAAGCCACAGTTGCTCAGGGGATAGAGCGTACACCACCCATTTAGGTGTCTCAGGTTCGAATCACAGCTGTGGTTTGTTGATATGAATTCAGCACTCGCCTTGCACATTCCACATTGGTGACGTAAAATATCTTTAGCTGTTGACGTATAATGTGTTAGAATCCTCTTACAATCGGGCTAACCGTGGGAGGTTTTCGTAGTTTTCCTCACCATTAGTTCCATCAAAAAATCCTCCCCAAAGGCCAGTTTGATTCGGGAGTTCCCTTGTCTTGTGGGTTCGATTCAAACTTACAAGGACATGGAGCTGAACATCGATAGTCGTCAACTCAAAATTGGGTCGGGTGTTCAACGCAGGTAATAAAATAAGATAAAATCGGTTTTAGTATGCTTCAAAAAATAATTATAATTCACTATTCATAATATAGTTTGTTTTAGATCGAATATTTTTTAATTTTGTAGATAAAGGTCTATTCTATCCAGGGCAGTAACGAATGATAGATTTGAGTGATATGTTGAATTACTCAACTCAAATTCGCTTTATACCCAACTAATGGAAACTTCTTATATTTTTAATTTTTTTATATTTAATTAATAGTTTTTATAATTCATTTTAAACAATATAACTATTGATAATAAAAAATATCCTGTTTGAAACTCCTGAGTTTTCCCCGTGTAATCACAACTTTTTCTGCGTAAAAAAATGCATCAATAAATAACGGTGAACGATGTAAAAAAAATTAATTTTTTGATTATGAAAAGTACTTTGTATTCTCAATAAATCAAAAATCAATGTGATTTGAAGAATGAAAGTCAAATAAGGGAGGGGAGGAGGGAGAAAGAAACGCCGTTTTTAGTTAGGGTGACGAAAAACCGATTCCTTCAAAAAAATTAAATTCGTTCGTGGAAACGCAACATCGAATTTTTACAACACAGTTTTGCTTGTGCGCATCAATCTATTCAAATGCGGAAGCAAGAAAGTTTTGACGCATAATTTTCCATAATAAAAGAAAATAAATTGATTACAATATAGACCAACTGGCGGCCCGCGAAGCCTTTTTTTGTGGCGCGCGAACTAAAATATATTAGTTGTCATTTTTTTTTTTGCGAACAATTTTCGTAAAAAAATCTATATGGGTTTAAAATACTTTTCTTTCTTTAAAAAAACCTGAGTTCTTCATTTCTGTAAAATTTAATATACCAACGAAGCATAAAAAAAAAAAAAAAAAATTCCACAGGTTTTGCATCCAAGAAAATATTTATTATTTGTAATTCAATACTTTTGTTTAGTACAACATGATAAAAATCTGACTCTAATATTTAATGTTCCTTTAAACATTAAAAAGTCCTATATAAAATTTTGATAAAGTTGCGGCCTGCTCTTTGACTGGTGGTTTCAATTGCGGCCCCCGGCCTCATGCAAGTTGGAAACCCCTGATATAGAACTAGGTAAGAGAAAAAATGACGTTAAAGTATTTTCTTCAGTTAGCTGTTTGAAAAAAAAATTTTTTTTTTAAGAACGAAGTCCAATGG